ATCAAAATTAGTCTCAAAGGAATCAAGGCAACTAAAGGGAATTTTTATGAACTATAATCTGAAACAACTAGTCAGTCAATCAACAAGGATTAGTCGAGAGAGTTCAACCCTATTGGACCTGTTTGCTACTTAACTGTCCACAAAATATTGTGTCGGTTAACACTGCTTCCCTTAGCCTAAGTGAGTGAGTGACCAGGGGCGGATTCAGACCGTTGCAATCGTAGCATATGCTACGGTCAGATTTTGCCCGAGATATGTTTTCCAGGGTGTACCTTTTTTAAAGTTATTAAAAACTAAAAAGTTATACTATTTTTTAGTTGCCTGATACCTTCAATTTTTCATTGAAACCTGGCGCAATTTTTTTCAAATTTACTAAATTATATTGATAAAATTTTATCGAGTTTGTATTTCATTTTGGATAATTAATTTTCTCTCACTGCCTGTATTTGCGGGTTTTACACCAATACTATATCACATCGTTCTGAAGTCGGCGCAAGCCATTGCAAACCGTAGCATTTGCTTCATTCTGATTGGCTTGCTTCGTCTAACCGTAGCAAACCAATCATAGAGCTGTATTTGGAAATTTTTGCAGTGGTCAGATTGAAACTGACCGTTGCAAAAATTCGCAAATACGGCATGCTGATTGGTTTGCTACGGTCAGACGAAGCAAGCCAATCAGAATCAGGCAAAATGCTACTGTTTACAATAGTCGCATCGACTTCAGAGCGATGCTGGTTTGTTATTGTCGTGTCGGCTCCTCGTTGTAATCGAATAGTCGGTAAATTTTAATCGCCGCTCGTTGCAAGGAGAAAGATATGGCTTCTACAGGAGTGGATCTGTAGACTACAGATCCACTCCACGACCTTCTGTGTATAATGAACGAACGTAACGTGTTTCATTTAACGAAAAGGCGCGCGAAAGAATTCTGATCGAAAGCTTTTGGTGTGCGATTTTTGGCATAATTTGCATTTCCCGCGATGTGAACAACAGCGCTGTTTGAATCACCTCCGTGTCAATGAACAGTATTAAATAGGTAAATAACATATCGAATTATATGTTTGCGATGTTACTCTGAGTGCATATCCACACCGGGCGAGCTTGAAAAATATGCCCGGCCATGGTGGGATCTGAGTGCATATCCACACCGGGCGAGCTTGAAAAATATGCCCGGCCATGGTGGGATCCCACCATGGCCGGGCATATTTTTCAAGCTCGCCCAGTGTGGATATGCACTCAGAGTAACATCGCAAACATATTATTCACCTGAGTACACAACACCAACACAGAAAAAAAACATATCGAATTGTTTACACAGTTCCGAGAAGAATGGCATTCTTCTCAAATATATTACCATATTTTTGCTGATGAAACGTATTATTATAAAAATACAGAACAATATCAATCGATGGCCACTCACACTATAAGTATTTGATAGCCATTGGCACGCCATGTGTGTTTATATTAAGAAATATGTAAGTTAATCTCCTATATATTTTATATCTTAGACTTTGCTCATGTAATTATTTGTGCGAATGGATTTTCTATAACTAGTTAATATATTGTAGACCTGTTGTAGTCTATAAAGACTAGTGAGTAGTGTAAATGAAATTTATATAAATAGTTACACTCCGATATATTATATTGTAGTTTACATGTATA